TTGTTTTTCAATTTAATGATATTTCATATTCATGCTTATTATTTTATAATTCTTTTATAATTTGCGCCATGTTCAAAATGACGCGCGTCGCACTGTGCGCTATGTGCCATGGCTTAAATAGGACCTTTGCGCTATGGTGCGCCATTTACCGTTAACAAGTATGATGTTGCTAGACTGACCTTCTCCAAAGCTCAGGATGCGGCTCAAATCTTTGAAATTAAAGTCAAAGTAGGAAGCACAAAGCAAGGGAGCAAGACCGTGATGGAATATGCCACAATTCTACAAAATCTATGGCAAGAACTTGATCACTACAGATGCATAAACACCAGATATCCGGAAGTTGTTGCGATCCAAAAGAACTTTATTGAAAAAGATACAATTTATGATTTTCTTGTAGGACTAAATGTAGAATTTGATCAGGTTAGAGTCCAAATACTCGGCAAAGAGGAGACACTAACACTTAATGAAACTATTTCTCTCATTCGCGCGGAAGAAAGCTGACGAGGAGTGATGTTAGAGCTAAAGGTCATTGAAAGTTCAGCAATGATGATAAACATAGAATCGTCATGGAGGGAGAAAGATAAAAATTCCTCAAAATATGAAGACAGAGACTCACTTTGGTGTAGTTATTGCAAGAAGTCAAGACATACGAAGGAAACATGCTGGAATATATATGAAAAGCCCCCAAGTAAGGAGTGGAATCAAAGAAGTGAGAAAGAGACACATCATATGCCAACACCATGTTAAGTCAGCATAACCTAGAAACACCAAACAACTTCAAAGAACTCAATAAAGAAGGCATTGACAAACTAAGGCAACTCCTGGTATCCCTTGAAAAACCACCTGCATCTTCCTCTCTTGCACTTTCAGGTAAGTTTCCTTTATTCACTAGATTAAGTACATCTAGAAATCATTTGAAAGAATTATAAATCATTGACTCAGGAGCCACATATCACATGACAAACTCCACCACCCACTTCATTAATTATAATCCTTGTTCAAGTGACAAGAAAATCATCATTGTTGATGATTCTATTGCTATAGTAGAAGGTTAATGAGACATACCTTTATCCCCTTCCCTTACTCTAAAAAATTGTGCTCCATGTACCTCAATTATCCACAAATCTTATATCCATACAAAAACCAACCAGTGACCATAATTGTCAAGCACTATTTAACCCTACTTATTGCTTATTTCAGGACCAGGGATCGAGAAAGAACATTGGACTTACTAAGGAGAAAGCTGAACTGTACTACTTGGAAGAGCTGAACAAATCTAAAAATAGTTACTCTATGTTATCCCTTGTTGACAAGAAATCTACTATTTGGCTTAATTACTTCTGATTAGGACATCCATCATCATTGGATGTCCTAAAATCTATGTATCCTAAACTTTTTCATAATTTGGAAAATGAACATTTTTCATTGTGAAACTTGTGAATTAGCCAAACATAAAAAGAATATCTTTTCCAAACAAAAATAAGATATGCAATACTCTCTTATATCTCATTCTTAGTGATATATGGGGACCCTAAAAAATCGCCAACATCTTTGGGGCTCGTTGGTTTGTATCTTTCATTGATGATTGTACTCAGGTATCTTGGATCTATCTCCTCAAAAATAAATATGAAGTTAGCACCATTCTTACCATTTTTCACAATGATCCAAAATCAATTCGGGGTAAAAATAAATAAATTTCATTTAGACAACGCTAAAGACTACTTCAACCAAACCATATACTCTTATTTTCAGAGTGAAGGTATCATCCACGAATCCTCCTGCGTTCACACCCCACAACAAAAATGGGGTTGCAGAAAGAAAGAATGGCCACTTCCTAGCCTTCCACTCGCGCCTTATTACTCCACCACACTATACCAAAATCCTAATGGAGAGAAGCCCCTCCTAACTGCCACTTACCTCATAAACCGGCTATTTTTAAAAATCTTGGGAATGAAAGCTCCAATGGATATTTTGTCCTACTTTTACCCCGATATTCGAACTCATAATAACCTTACTCCCAGAATCTTTATGTGCACTTCCTATATTCACATTCACAGCCATAATAGAGGAAAACTAGATCCAAGGGCACTCAAATGTATCTTTATCGGATACTCTGCCACCCAAAAAGGTTATAAGTGCTATCACCCCCCTACAAAGAAAACACTTGTATCCATTGATGTCACTTTTGATAAACATAATTCCTACTTTACTAAACCTCATCTTCAGGGGGAGACAAAAATAAAGGAAGATAATGAAAGCATGCTTGCCCCTCTTAACCTTTCCCCACCACATCAAACTAATCCACCTGAAATTTAGAATAGGGAAGCTGAAATCAAAACTGTTCTTAGATTTGGGAATGTCTATTTCAGGCGTACAAGTTCAAACTGTGCTCCAAAGAAGATCCAAGAATCTGAACCATCTCATGAAAATAAGATAAATTCACCAACTCCCTTATACCCTATAACCAACTCCATATCCTTCAATAATGTTTTGTCCCTTCATAAAAAATTTACCAAAATCTAGATGTAGATAAAGGGGCTTACCAGAGACTTGTGGGAAAGCTGATCTACCTTTCCCACACAAGATCAGATATAACATTTGCTGTAAGTATGGTCAGTCAGTTTATGCAAAATCTATAACAAACTCATATGCAAGAAGCATACAGAATACTGCACTACCTTAAGTGTAACCCAAGAAAAGGGATTCTCTTTAGAAGAGACCATAGAATAACCCTAAAAGTATACAATGATGTTGACTATGCAGGATCACCAGTAGACATAAGATCTACTTCAGGGTATTACAAATTTATTGTAGGAAACCTAATTACATGGAGAAGGAAAAAAAAAAAAAAACAGAATGTGGTGGCAAGATCTAGTGCAGAAGCAGAATATAGGGCTATAGCCCTGGGAATATGTGAAGTACTATGGATCAAGATAATTCTAGAAGATCAAAGGATCAAGTGGGACGAACCTATAAAATTGCATTGTGACAACAAATCAGCAATCAACATAACTCACAATCCAGTCCAACATGACAAGACCAAGCACATAGAAGTGGGCAGACATTTTATAAAGGAAAAGTTAGACAGTGGTCTTGTATGTATCAACCATGTGTCATCAAAAGATCAGCTCATAGATATCCTTACCAAAGGCTTAGATAACTCTACCTTTCTCAATATGATAGCCAAGCTAGGAATAACAGATCTATACCTCACAGCTTGAGGCGGAGTGTTAAAATTCCAACCGCTCCCTCTCGAAGGAGATCCGACGACCACAAAGATCGATCCGTGGGAAGCTCGCAATATTCACGCAGAATCATATTGATTCCTTTCCAAAATGAAGAAGCTGATTTAGGAATGAATGTATTATGGCTATTATGCATGAATCTGTAAATATTTGTTTCTTTATTTAGATATCATGTATAGATCTATAAATAGGGAAGAAATTGAGTAATGGAATATGGTTTTCTCCTCTCAAATTTCTGATTACAATATATACAAACTGAGGCAACAAAAATATATCCAAGATAGGAATGGTTAAATGCATAAAAAGAATTTTTGAATAAGTCTTTTCCTAAGATATATCCTAATTCAAAACCAGCAGCTGTCGAATGATGTGCAAATTTAATTTCCGAAAATTAGGCACCATGCATTCAACCCACAATTGGAATACAATTGCAGACTTTCATATTAGGTGAATTGCTAATTTGAGAATAAAATACATACCAAACAATGCTTAGGCTTTGTCCCCACTAGCTTGAATCATCTGAGTCATTTATTTGTATAATAATCACATTCTAACTAAGCCATAAAGGTTCAAAATTATTGAAATGCCACCAACTGCTTGGATGGCTGCCTTGATTTTGGAAAAGCCTTGACTATGCTATCGAAAAACCAGCAGTTGAAACTCAGATAAGAGTAATAGTGAGGTAGTGAAGGTGGCGGTTACATCTAGTCCATATGGCCCTTATGGCCTTGGAAATAATCTAGAATCATCAGTTCAGCAAACAACTCACCAACCTACAGTGTCATCCCTTTCCATTTTGGGGGAAGGATGAGAAACCGTGGTTATTTCATCTGTTGCATGTGCTTTCATGGATGCTGGTTTACTGAAGACCTCTCTAGTAAGTTAGAAACAAGAATGATTCCCATATCACTTTAGCTACTATGGGAATTGTTTATTTGATTTTTTTTCCTTTGGTTACTAAGATGTTTAAAGTTTGTCTTAAAATAAGCTGAATTAAAGAAGCACCAACTTTTTTTCTTTCTTCATTTTGTACTGTTTTAAGTCATTTTATTTTAATTTGCCATTCAATGCGAAATATTTTGCATGCTCATCAAATTATATGAAACAATGGATTGATGAACCACTTGATCTATTATCAAGTCAATGTAAAATGAACTTAATTTGCAAAATCGTAGGAAGATCTGCTGGGAAGCAATTTTGTTGCAAATGAAATGAAAAAAAGTCTTATTATCTACATGGTATGGAATCATTCCCTATCTAGCACTTTGGGCTTTTGTATTTACATTCTGAATATCTAATGATTTCTTTATGTAAAACATTTCTTTATATCCAATAGATTGATCATGAACTTCATGCATTGATCATTGGATGGACTGTGCCGATTTGGGTATCTCAGGGAATGGATTTGCTTGGGTTATGGTTGATATTGATAATTTGTATTTGTTGAGATTGATACTTGGCTTAATTACCCCAGGTTGAATATAAAATTATAAACCCAGACTCTATTTTCTTTGAGTTGTATTTTGTAAACATCTGGATGCCTTTCTTGTTGTTACTTTCTATGTTTCTACACTTATGTTACTTATGTTTTTGTAAGTGGTCGACTTATTTCCACTAAAACCCTTCTCATTTTTTGTTATGTAAACTTAATCAAGAATATATTTATTATAAGGTTACTTACTGTATATACTCTGTCTAAAACATATGCTCTTTCATTCAAAATATTATATCATACTTACACATTTCTTTGTGTAGGTTGGAGATTTAAGAGAGAGTGAACAGATGTTGCGACTTATTTTGGAGATGTATCGTCGTGAATCAACTGATTCTAGGTATAAATTTATTCCTTTTCCAGATCTCTTGTTTTTGCTTGTAGCATTTATTTTTTCTTTTAAGCTATAAGCTCTTTTGTTCGAGATGCATTCGTTTAAGCTATAAGCTCTTTTGTTCGAGATGCATTCGTTTTTCAGATTGCATAAGAATTTATTGTGTTCAAATTTTCGTTTTTACCAAAGAAAACAATTTTGGAACTGGATGAGCTTTGCGTTACTTAAAAAAGATGCTTTCCTTTTTATTTACTTTCATGATTTCTTAAATGGTTTTATTAGGCTAGTACCTAAGCTTTTGTACTTGTTAAACATCACTATTTTCTGTGAAAAAAAAAAGATTCTGTCTAAAGCAAATCTGCTGAGCTTGTAAGTTTGCACGTGGAAAAATCTTGTTAGGTTTTGTATTTCTTTTGTCTTTGTTTTACTAAATATATGGATAATATTGAGGGCTGAGAAGAATTTCTTTTTAGGATAAAAATCTATACCAAAATTCAAATTAAATACTAGTAGAGCAAAAGGTCAGTTACAATTAAGTCGGGTGTAAGAACAATTATAAATAAGGATGGCATAAGACCAGATACTGGCATAAGACCAGATGCAAATAAAATTCCATGTCGTAGCCAAAGAACATTCATCTTAAGGTTGCCTTTTTCAGACTCGAACATATGACAACTCTTCTGAAAATTAGGGAACATGTTACTGAGCTGTATAGCTTATTGCTTTGGGCTAAGGAGATGTTTGATATATGGAATACATTTTTTGTTTTTGAAACTTTTTTCAAGTTATTATCAACATCTACTGATGATGCTTTTTACGTTATAAAGTGTTTCATGATCATTTCATGGGTAAATTAGATCTAGATCCCTCAAATTTTTCATAAATAATTCGCTCCATTAGTTGAAAAATTGCTGCCCTTAGGTCACTCAAGTTTTCAAGTATATTTCATATAGGCCACGTATGAGAATTTGTGTGAAATGTTTTTTTTTATAAATTTGAAGGCCTTTAAAGTTTTGGCGTCATAGCTTACAGGGTTTCTGTTTTAATTAGAGAAGCAGACCACTTTGTTGAAAGTATTTATTATGACTTAGTGCAGAGATGTAACGTATAACAGTGATTGTCAACCAATTGAAACATTTTTTCCCTATTTAGGAATGTTTTGGAGTCTCGTGACATGGAGTATAAGGCATGGGCTCAGGTTCAAAGCCTTAAATCTTTCCTAGATGAGCATAACTTGGAAGGCCGTGTAAAAACTGCTATTGAAGCTGAAGCAATATCTCAACAAAGGCTTGCCACTGCTGAGGCTGAGATTGCAGATTTACGACAGAGATTGGAATTTGTTATAAGGTGATTACAAGTTTTTTTTTTATTTCTTTTGAAAAATATGATGTTTTCTTTGTTGCATGCCCCTGTTTTAACAAGCTTTCATAATTCTCAACTAGGCGATCTATTGTGGAGACCTTTATTTATTTATTTTTTTAATTTATTAACAGGGATGTATCAAAGTCATCCGAAATGTTAAATTCCAAGCATGAGGAGGGTGAAGCCTATCTTTCTGAGATCGAGGTTACTTTCCCATTTATGCATATATCAATTTATTTGTGCTGCACTAATTGAAAGGGTGGATCTAGCGCATGAGGCTTTCTGCTAATGGATGGTCTTTGGAGAGGGGGTTGTATGTAGTATCAACCTCTTCCATTTTAGAGGCCTTTACTGAACTCCCCAACTTCTAAGTTATAATGTTGACAAAACCATTTTTCTAGGGACTCCCTCTTTGGAACACTATTATGCACTGAAATTTATTTTACTTATATCTATCTTCCATTACATCCAGAGTATTGGACAATCGTATGAGGATATGCAAACCAAGAACCAACACCTCCTGCAGCAAATCACGGAAAGGGATGAATACAACATTAAGGTGACTCCTGAAAGTTTCATTTAGTATTGTTATCTTGGATAGTTGCCTGTCTTTTATCCTTGGAACAGTTTTAACAATCCTCCATGAGATGGAGATGGTTGAAAGAGCTGCCAATTTATCAGCAAGCTCTTGTATGAATTCTATATTATAGACAAATGTGCTATCTACAATATAGTCTTACGTGCGCTATGCTTCACTAACTTTGACATCATTTTCCTAGCATTTGTGGCATAAATTAATGCTTGCAAAGAATTGCAAGGTTTAAAGAGGAGGGTTCCCTAATTTATTATGCCTGCGTGTATAGCTCTTGGTGTTTGAAAATTTACAAACTAGGTCTTGTCATTTTTGCTAAATTGTTGTTTTGGGTCCTTATGATTAGCCTGCACTACCAGCTTACCAGTAGCTAATAAATGACGTCCAAATACTTGCTTGCTTCCTAGCTTAGTGACGAAGATCCAAGATTTTGGACATGATTTTCACTATTGGTGAATCCACCTTGATAATAGCTTTTCTCTGAAGTCTATTAAAATCCTAGAAATAATAAGATAATAGAAAACTATTTTATTGAGAGTAGATTCTTCTCTTGGAAGTGAAGCTACTACCACTAGAGATGGGGGCTGGTTATTTACTTTCCTAGTACTTATTATTACGCTAGATTTTACTTCTCCAAGGAACAAGTGATGGGGGCATCGACAGGAGATTCCGGCGCGTCTATCAGAGACGACACCAGAGATCGACGGCCATGATGGAGAGCCTGTACCACTGAGGACTATTTGTATCTGCATTTTTATTATTACTTATTTACTTTCAGTTTTTTCCCATTTTACCCTTGTGGGTATTTGTTTTCTCTTGTAGCCCAAGGGGCATAGTAGACTTTTGTACTTGTTGTCATTTGGAGCCTATTTAAAGGGCTCATGTATCTTGTATGAGGGGATGAATTATTGAATGAAAATTTTTATGCTTGTTCTCTTTGTGAGTTCAATATCAAGAAGATCTCTTGGTGAGTTCTTCACATGAGATCTCTTTGTGAGTTCTCTTAGTATTTGCATCCATAGATCTTCTCATCATCCACAAACGCCATCATCTACATCAACAAGTTGGAAGAAGCCGGCCCCCTTCACATTTGCCGTCTCCTTGAGACCCCTCACCCGTCGGCCACCCCAACCCCCACCGGCCGGCCACCTTGCCGCCGGATTCTCCCCACCTCCATCCTCCCACCACCTCTCCCTCTCATAACCTCTCTTGAAATTTGAATTTCAAATTTCAATTTCTTTCCAAATTTGAAAATTCTATTTTTGGAAAGTTTTTGAATGAATCCGAATTTAAAATTAAATTGATTTGGATTTAATTTTAAAATTTTTCCTAGTCATCATCCTTGATTGGAAACCCCCTACCCCTCTCCCTCTACTCATCCCGCCCCCCCTCTTATTTGGCTCCCCATTAATTGCCCTCATTACTCTAAATCTAATTGAAATTTGAATTTGATTTCACTTAGATTTCCCTCCCATCCCATTTAAAACTGAAATTTATTTCAGTTTTTTCACATCTAGCTCTCTCCCCTCCTCTCTCCTTGCCGCCGGCCTTAATGGGTTTTTCCCCAAATTAATTCCCTCATTAAGGAATTAATTGCAATTAAAGCTTGGATTTGAAATTCAAATCCCTCCCTCCAAAATCCCTAAAACTGAAACTACTTTCAGTTTTTCTAAAACATATCTTCCCCTCTCACCCTAATCCCACTACCGGCCTCCCCTCACCTCTACAACCAGCCGACCCCCTCTCCTTCCCATTGGGGAGTTTCTTGTGGCGACCGCCCAACTTCACCTCCATGTCGCATGGCGGATCCCGAGTTAGAATGGGGGCTTGTGTTCGATGCCCAAGGTAATCTCGACGTCCTCCAATCGCCATTCTTCGACGCGGGATTTGAATCCGACGAAGACACCGTGGGAGATTACTTGGATCGGATCCTCCCGTCCCTCATCAAAGTCATTGATAGACAACGTCCGGACTACGAGTGGATCATCGACGGCCGACCTCCCGTGCCACCTCCACCTCCGTGTTCCTTCTCCACGGCAACGTTCATTGGCTCCTTCCTTCTCGTGGCAACCTCACTTCTAGCTTGGACGATCTTCCGCCGCTCAACTTAGTTCGTAGGAAAGAGAGAAGAGGCCTCAAGGTGAACAACTCCGTATTAATTGTTGGATTCAATTCACTAGCTTTTAACTTTACGTTCTCCTTTAAATTTGCTTAAATAGTTTGGTTAATTTCCTTGTAATTCCTTTGCCTAAACAAGTGGAACACTACGAATTCTTGTAATCGACTTTAATTTGAAGCATGATTATATAAGTGGTTAAGCTAATGTTTAAATCTTCTTATTAATCTTGTGTAACTCAACTCATGCATCACATCAACAAGTATCAAATACTTGATATTGAATGCTAACGGATATGTTGTATCTTTTTATTGCTTCTTCTTGAAGAGTGAGCTTATGGATTATTTTTAATCACAACATCTTCGTGTCCTTATTGCTCCACACAAATGACCCAAGGTTTAAAATTGCGCAATTGGGTATTGAGGCGTTTTTATTCGCGAGGCAAGGCATAAGCCTCAAGGCGGCGTTTTGAGGCTAAGTTTCAAAATCTAAAAATTGCGTAAAGTAAAAATAAAAGTTAAAATTGATTTTTTATATAGTAGTATAATACCCAAATAATATGTTAAAGAAATGACATATTAATTTTCTATTGAACTATGAAGTAACAAATTTATATACATATGAAATAAAAAATGCACAAGATGTAAAGTGGTAAGTAATAAAGTATGTGAAATAAAATTGAAATTCAAATATTATATAAGTAAAACAACATAAAATATATGAATTGCTTAAACATATCATAAAACATCAAGTTCAACTCTAAATTTCTTCTTTCTCAGTTGCTTACTCATGTACATTTAATAACTAAAGAAAGTTGAAATAATTAGCAATAACTCATAAATCATATGTCTTGTCATTACTATGGTGATTTTTATTTGAGTCGTCATAAAAATTTGATTTTTCCACTACCTCATCCTGTAGGGTCTAATACATCCAAATCTGCTGCTTCTTCATTTAGTTCAGTCATCTTCCTCTTTCATAAATTTTTGTCATCAATATAAAGATAACAGTAATACTCCAAAATTTTTAGAGGAGATGGTGGTGAGTGTGGCTTTCAGGTGATCCCAGACAGTGGCTACAATGGTGGTGGGTACGACTAAGGCATTGGACAAGAGGTCGAGGAAGTTGTTGTGGCTTGGGCTAAGAAGGCATGATTTTTTGGGGATTTTGTATAGGATTTAGCTAAGTTTTAAATAAAAAAACATACATAAATAGAACGAGGCGAGGCACGCCTCAAGGAGGACTTTAACCAAGATGAGGCGAAAGCCTCATAAAAAAAACTCGAGGCGTAAGACTCGAGGCGCTTTTCACTAGAATTGTGCTGAGGCGAGGTTCATATTGCACAATTTTAAACAATGAAACAACCACCTCACTTTCATGCATTCCACCATCATTATCTCTCATAAACATTAATAGTTCACCCTTCCTTACTATTTATGGTGAAATTGTAGAAGTCTGAAAAGCTGTTTATGATTTGTGGGCTAAGCCATTGCATGCTAAACAAATTTTGTTTGCTCACTTGTTTGATAAGAGTAGAGCTCCTTTGATTTCTCATTTTATTGTAATTTTTAGATGATGATGCCTTATTGTTGGACCCTGACATTATTCACCCTATAGGTTCCTCCTTCGAGAGAGGAAATGTTACTCCATGGAGAGGTTATTAATAGTTCATATGAACATCTAACATTATTATATTGAACATGTATTCATTAATAGTTCCCATAAACATGTACAATAGTAACTTGAGTATGAATATCTTGTATGCATCCTCACCCTGTCATTGTTTTTTTAGCCTAGTCCCCACCCCTTGAGCCCTTTGCGTTCATAACAAAAGCTTGCCCACCATGGTGCCTTGTTGGTTTTTTCTACATGGTATTATAAATTATTAGTTTGAAGTTAGAGAAAATTGTTTTTATTTTAAAAAATAAATAAATATTTTTAAAATATTGGAAAATAGATCATCAAGAAGAAAATAAAATCAGTCTACGTAGCTATTAAATTATATATGCAATATATTTTAAAATGAAAAAAATGCGATAAGCTATTTATGTAATATATTTCAAAATTAAAGTTTATTATTCTTGAGATGGGCATGTTATTTATTTTTTTTATTTCATTGAATTGGACATGTATATGGTGCGTTTGATACATGTTGTGCAAGTGCATGTATCGGGTTAGTACCCATGTCTACATTGCACACAATTATTATGAAGTGTAAGCGTATCATAGGAAAAAATGAATTACTTGAGGAGCATTTAAGTGGCAGTACGCATGATGAGCCTAGCCATAACTCCAAATGAAATTGGTACATGTGACACGAAATTTCCCAACTTGCATAAAGATGCAGAAAATGGGTGAGGGTAATAATGGAGATGACTGGGATGGTACTTTGCATGTTTTTTACACTGAGCTCATATCCTCATGGAAGTATTTGAACTATAACTTGCCATATTGGGATTGCTTAATATTCCTGCAATTGAAAAAAAATGCATTCTTGATACAATTAGTTTTGATCCTATACTTTAAATATAAGATAATATGTTAAACTATAACTTATGAACCTCTAGAAGCCTCTATCATTGATAAAACGTTATGAAAAATATGGAGTGCTTGCAATGCCTCTCAGTAAAAAAGCACTTACTAATAAGCCAAAGAAGCACAAAAAAAAAAAAAAAAAAAATCTCGCTTTGTAAGTACAAATTGTTTTCATATGGTTCTGTTGTACTTTGTTTTCCAGTCTTTGGTTGTAACGAGGTGCTTGAATTTCTTATTTACTCCTGGTTAGTTACGCGTTAGTCTAATTGTTTTGACATCGGTGCATCATTCTACTTGTTCTTTATTTTTCCTTGTTCTAATTGATCGTTGTAGTTTACGTCAAACATTACTGTCTTTATTCTTGACTTTAATATATTTTCTGAAAATCAGAAATGCTTATAATCATTAATGTAATTTTTTTTATCTCTTTCATGCTTGTATTTGTATTTTATGCCTTCAAAATTTCAAAATTCTTGTTATTTGTATTGTATGCCTTAGTATTTATGCTTCATTGCCATTTTCATTGCTTTGCGTGATTTAGCTTCATAATTGAATGTGATAGTTTTACACTTGTTTAATTTGCCTTTATGTATATGTACTGGCATTACCGCAATATCTGCATGGAACAAATGTCTATTCTGTAGTATATCAAAGGCATGTCAACTAGGCTTGATATGGTAGATTCAGACACCCATTGTGCAGGGTGTTATGGTTAAGTTCTCTTGTTTCTACCTTGTATTGTTGTAGGCCTTACACCTTACAGATGCTAGATCCTTAATATCTGATTGTTTACAGTGATAATACTATCTCCAATTTCCATTTCCTGTTACGAATCTTAGTATTTGGTGTACTGCAAATCTAGGCCTAGGAAAATATTGTCTTTGAAGTTTTATGCACCTTTGAACCCATAAGAAACCCATAAGTTTTGAAGGATGTTAAAGTAATTGTAGGTTCAGAAATTGTACATTTCGGCTATATATATGAATTGTAGGGGGGCATGTGACCTCCTCAAAAAACTATTTTTTTATCTCCCGTCTTACTCAAAAAAAAAAAAAAAAAAAAGAAAATTTTCCTGTGTGTTTTTGTTGAATAGCCCAGCCAACCCTAAATTTTTTGCTCATCTTCCATCTTCTACTCTTGCGGCTCAAGCACTTGATCTCTCTGGCAAAAAAGAACGAGACGTATCTCCTTGAGCTGAAACCATGATTAGGAAGAGATTTTTTTCATAGCTTTGGGTATTCTTTCTTTCTTTTTCTTTTTTTTTTTAATTTTGCTTTGTACTTCTCTCAGAGTTCATGTATAGGAATTAATAAATTGTACATTGCTTCGAACTAAGATTCTATCTTTTTAAACTAATAAATTTAATAAACAAAAAATTTTAAAACAGTCAATATCAGTCCTAAGCCCAGTTGAACAAAATGAGGGAAAAAATTAAAAAAAAAATTAAATTATGCCCCCTACTAAAAATTCCTGGCTCAGCCACTGTTTTTGAGGGCTTGTTTAACTCTGGAGGGTAGGGAGCAAGGTAGTTAATTGATTTTCTAGTAGGAAGCGGCAGTTTGTGAATTTTCTATTAGTTGTTGCTTGACAAGTTCATGCTTGACTTGGACCCATGATGAAGTTTATCTAAGTCCAATTCTTTCATGCATGCAATGTACTGAATTTAAGTTGTAATCTGGTTAGCAAGTTTCTGACATTCCTTTGGGTGAGAATAGGCCATCTTTGAATCTCAACATTACCTTAATTGTCAGACTATGAATGTTTAGAATCCATCTGAGTAACTTCACCAATTAAAACACTTAGAGACTCCTTTGGGAAACCCTTCTATCCTTTCATTGAATTATCTCTGACACTTGAGCAAAATGCACATATTTTATTAGGGTGGAAAATAATTTAAAATTTGATTCATGCCATAGATTTGTGTTTATTTGGCTCCATCAAAACTCTTCCTTTCCATAACATTGCTAGCTTATCAACTTAAAAGCTACAGGTTAAAGGACTGGACAGCTGTTAATTTGTTTTTTTGGGTGCCTAGGTCCAATTTCTTGTGAGTTCAAAACCTTGATCCATGGACATAATAATATCCATCCATCAAGCTCTGTTTACCACCCCTTCATAGTAGCCTCTTGGCCAGAACTGCAGAGACAATGGCATCGAAGGTTGGGTAACCTATGAAGAAAATATGCTTCTAGAAGTAAACAAGCAAAAAATAATTCTTGCTTTTATCTTGTTAGGCGTGTGGTTGTTCATTATGCTAGATAACTTGATATATTCTATTTCAATATTTGAGCTGCTAACTGGCATATTGTTCTACTGGCATCCTAATGTTCTTGAAATCGTCAAGGTGCAAGGAACATATGTGGAATTCTTGGCAAAATGATTTAATGATTTTCACAATTATAAAATATTTATTTTAGTTTGAAGTATTTTAACTTGGTTAACAGTTTCTTTCTTTGGATATTTTTTACATAACTCTTGGAAACTTTATGAAGGCCATTTGATTGGGAACCCATTTATCTAGGTAAATTCATAGAATTGTGTAATATGTAATGGCTAGAGAAAGTAAAGTTTTAATGTCTACATGGTGTGTCTCAATGTCTTTGACCTCTTGTGAGAGAATATAGCCAAAAGATAGTGTAAAATGACCAGTTATGAGTAAATCTACAAGTTAAGAGTAAATTGCATTTGATAGGTTTCTTTCTATTGCCTCTGAAAGAATATAAGATGAATTGTTTTTTGTTGTCTACCTAGGCATTCATTGGGTTTTTCTTTCCTTGAAGACATCATATGAGTGATAGTGTTAGATGATTACTTTGTGTATGTCTGTGAGTTAGGCCTATTTGTTATGTGCGGCCATCTGGTTCATTTGATCTTTTTTACATTGTATTTTATTCAACAACCTGTCTGCCTTCTTTTGGTAATATTTCCTAGTTCATATGAACTCATTACTTTTCTCGTTTAGCTTTTGATGGAGGGTGTAAAAGCAAGGCAGATGCATGATGGTGTTTGTAGTGAAATAAAATTGTTGGATAAAAAGCTTCAGGAAGCCAACTTATTGATTGATCTTCATGACCTGAAAACCACACGATTTGATGAGCAGGTAAATTCTTGGGAATCAGCAAAAAAATGAATACACAGAAGTTACTTGGCCTTACTTGCATTGTTTTGCAGTTGAGAGTTAGGTTAGATCTGGTTACAAAGCAGATTGAAGATGGATGCCAAAGTTCTATTGTTTTGGGTAATGCACAAAGGAGACTAGCTGATGTACAGAGTGAATCTCAGTCGTTGAGGCTGTCTATGAATGAAATACAAATACAAGCCATGAAAAGCAGATCAGAGGTCACAGAGCTTTTAATTGAACTAGAGAGGGAGAGGTAATTACCTTTTCAATTATTGTATCATTGAAGTATATGCCTATTCTTAATGAATGTTTGTTGAAATTAGGTTCAACAAGAAGAGAATATATGAGGGACTAGAAGCAATGACAATAAAAGCTACAATGCTTAGGCAACAGACTGATGGCTCAGTCTTATTGGAAAAGCTTCGCCAAGAGATAAGGGAATACAAGGGGATTCTCAAGTGTCGTATTTGCCATGATCATCAGAAAGAGGTAAGCTTTACCATTAGAGATTAGCGTACTTTCAAGAACATTGTCATTGCCTTTTTTTGCACATCGAAGTGCATGTATTGTTAAGTTATATACTTATTTATTTAGCGCAAGCACCCTAATTTCTCAGGAGCTTGAACAACATTTTGCATCACGTGGCCGACTTGAGGTTTCTTTGTTGATTTATACTAAAAAAGGAAAACAATTATTTATAATTCAGAATTTAGATTTTCTTTACATATTATTTGACATATTAATTACAATTTAGGTTAAATTATAGTAGTTAAAGTTGACTCACCAAGCTCGGAGGTAGAGCGAGTTGATATTATACTGTCTCACACATCTATTAGGTGAGCAATATCAATTAGGCGTTGTATGCTGGAGCAAGCCTTTATCATGATTGGATATATGGGTGCTAATACATATAACGCAAAGATAAGTTTGCCTTTGAGAATTACAATTGGATATGGGTGATGTGAAAAGCACAATAGAAGAAAGGAAATTAATGTTGCACATCAGGGAAAAAGTTAGTTCATGATATGAGTTTGCTTTTGATAATTACAATTGGATATGGGTGATGTGGAAAGCACAATAGAAGTTGGGAAAATAACGATGCACATTTGTCAATCGTAGGTGCAAGAGCCACAAGTTCTAGAAAAATAAATAATAAATCTTTTGAATGAAGCGATGACTATGATGAGATAGAGGAAGAGATGAAGGGCAGGCTGCTAATCCAGTGAGAGGAACTAGAGCATGATGGATGATAATGGAATAGGGAGTAGCCAAGTTAAATAATTTCTAGATTATGCATGCTACAAATTTAGTTGCATTGATTATTTAGGCTATTTTACATCTCTTTTGTGTTTTAAATTTAACATAATCGATTAAGCAATGTTTGAGAATTTTAAATGTGATGAAACTTAAAATTTATCATTTAACTTGATAAATATAATGTGATGATTATCATTTTATACTTTGCTGAAGCTGTCTGCAAAATGTAAATTAATATTAACTATTTTGCAAAGTCTTACTTTTCTTTAGTGAACGATTTAGAGTGACACCTATTTCCTAAGGTTTTGGGCATTGAGTCAACGTATTGCCTTGATCTTGCTTAGTACATGTGAAATACTAGGTTGAATGGAATCAAGTTATCATCATTTTTTTCCCTTGTTCATATCTTTTTTTCATTTTAGAAGGTTGTCCTTATCCTTGTCTATTATTTTCTAACCTCTTTTAGATTTAAATTTTTTATGTCCTACATTTTTTATTTCTTATTGTTTGGTTTTCATGGAATTTAGGCTAAAAATGCAATTATGCTGTATAATTGAAGTCTAAATAAGACATGCACTTTTGAGGTATAAATGGAACTGCATGTTATTTTACGCATTTAAAAACCCCAAACTATAATCTTTAACATTGAAAATAATTGCGCTAAGGTGTTTCAATTGATAATTTTTAGTCGAGACTAAAATTTTTAAAATTTGTGCAAACACCTCAACAGAGAGCTCAACCACAACAACAACAACAACAACAATATCACGCCTCTATTACACTGCGTGGGGTCAGCTACATGAATCCTTTTTCTTCATTGTATTCTGTTAAGATTCAAATTCTCATTTAATTTTAATAAAGAAATGTCATTTCTAATATTTTCTAACCAAGTATTTTTAGGTCTAACTTTGCCTTTCTTAACACAAGCAAAATCTAATACATCTATTTTCCTAACCGGGTCATCGAAAGGCTGCCGTTTAATGCGACCAAATCATTTAAGGGGAAACTCTCTAATCTTATCTTCTACTGGCGCTACTCCAACCTTTTTAGGTGTATGGTCTTTTTGTATCCTGTCTCTAAGAGTAGCCACTCATCTGCCTAAGCATCCTCATCTCTGCAACACTTAACTTAATATTATGCTTCTCTTTTAATGGCCAACATTATGCACCATAATGCATTGTAGGTCTCACGACCTTATAGAATTTTTCCTTAAGTTTGAGGAGGCCTTTTTTGTCGCACAACAAGCCCGGTGCATTCTTCCACTTCAACCATCCAACTTGAATTCTACTAATAATATCCTATCTAGTTCACCATCACTCTGCACAATAGACCTAAGATATCTTAAGTGTGTACTTTTATTAATAACTTGATCACCCAAAGTCACAATTTCCCCATTAGATTTATTACTACTAAAATTACACTCTATATATTCAGTTTTAGATCTACTCAAAAGAAAACCTTTAGACTCTAAGGTTGACCTCCATAATTCAAGTTTACCTTCAACTCCCTCTCTAGTCTTATCGACAAGAAGAATATCATCAACAAAAAGCATACACCAGGGTACAACCTCTTGCAAATGTCTAATGAGAACATCCATGACCAAAGCAAAATGATATGGGCTTAAGGATGATCCGTGATGTAATCCATCTGAAATAGGAAAATACTTGGTCAAACCATCTTGTGTTTGAACACAAGTAACAACTCCTGCATACATATCCTTAATGAATTGAATATAATCATTATTAACCCCTTTCTTTTCTAGATCTCTTCACAGTACTTCTCTTGGAACTTTATCATATGCTTTTTCTAAATCAATAAATATCATATGTAGATCCTTGTTATTCTCTCTATACTTCTCCATCAAACCTCTCAATAAATGTATAGCTTCCATAGTAGATCTACCTGACATAAATCCAATTTGATTTTGAAAAACATTAGTATCACGCCGCGACCTATGCTCCATAACTCTTTTTCATAGTTTTAAAGTATGACACATTAACTTAATTCCCCTATAATTCGCGCAATCTTGTGCATAATCTTTATTCTTAAAAATAGTAATCAAACACTCATTCTCCACTCATCTAACATATTTTTATTCTTCAAAATTATATTAAAACGTTTAGTTGGCCAAGAAATTCATTCATCTCCTAAGCATATCCACACATCTATTGGAATATCATCAGATCCAGCAACTTTTCCACACTTAATTTTCCTCTATAACTTCGGTTTTACTAATGCACCAATAAAAATAAAGATCTTTATTTTCATCTAGGGTGCTAAGGTCATTAAAGTCTATCACATTCTGTGTTTGTCGATCTTTGCTCCCACTGAAATTTGAAGACCTCCATATTTGTTGAGCTTCGATCTAGTTGGAGTTTGAAGACTCTAGCATCCATTGAATCTTTTAGCTTACTAGAGTTTTTTCTACCTTCATTGAACTTTTGATTTGGGTCTGGGGAGATATTTGCTTTTTAGTGTTTCAAGCGTTGTTGATGCATTCAATACCTTTGTCTGCTCACTGTGAGAATTGAATGTTAAGGAAAGCGTGTTGCTACTTCTCTGTCTTACGCAAGTTTAGCCTAAGTTTGTTCATGGTGTCTTTTTACATCAATTAGTATCTATGTAAGAAAATTAAATTCTTTTCTCAGGCATCCATATCAAGCTGTCGTTTGGATATGCCAATTATCCTATTGGTTGATATCTAGCCCAATGTTTTAAATACAAAACGGACCAGCCAATTTGACCAGCTCAACCGTGAATTGGTCCCACAATTGATTCGGTCCGTATGCCAAACTGTTTTTACATAGAACTGGATTGAATCGGTCATAATTGGTGGTTGAACTAGTGAATCAGTTTCGATTTTGAAGAACTTTCATGTTCCCATTTGGTCAATTTATTGTTGTTTTTTTAATCAGATGGATGGAAATGAAGGATTCTAACTAAATAAAATTATTTAATATTTTAAACTCTAATTCTCAACTACTCAAACTCTCAATTTATTCAGACCTCTGTCATTTGCAAATCTAAATTTTAATAAGGTTAGTCATTTGCATTTAAATAATATCTATATAATTTTTTATTTATATTTCATCATCTGGTTCTATCTTTGGTTGAACCATTGGATCTTGATTTTTTTTTTCTTGTCCGATTTTTAAAAGAATTGCTTCAAACCTAAATGACGCCTTTCATTGGATGGCTCAGGTTGTGATTGCAAAATGCTACCATTTATTCTGTAGCCAATGCGTTCAGAAAACCATTGAAAGTCGTCATCGCAAGTGCCCGACTTGTTCAGTAAGCTTTGGGCCAAATGATGTTAAACCCATTTATATATGAACTTCCACAGTTTTCAGGATCTTGGTTGCACCATTTGGATCTGGACACCATAGAGACAGGGAAGCCTTGTGATGGTGCAGTCGCGACTTATTTGGCTGTAGATAATCATTCCTTTGTCCATGCAAATCCTTCCAACGCATGTGGAAAAGTGCGTTGGTGTGGGTTTCAGCAGCTCTCATGGCCAGCAAGAGCTACTGGTTATCCATGGCTACAGGTGTCGTCTCTTTCTCTAAAATTTTTGATCTGTCAAAATTGGCAGCATGGAGCTGTTTTCTCGTTCTCATTATGCTGTTTAAAATGAATCCCATATCGGCTGGGTGGCTGCAATTGCTGAGTTTCTTTATCTGTATATTTTAAATATTTTTTTTTTCTTGCGCAAATGGCCTTGTATATTTTTTATTGTTTCCTTGTATCTCCATGGGGTACTAATTTGTAGTAGAATGCGATTTAGTGGTTGTTGTAGCTTTGAATTCTTCTTCCTATGTACTGTTCCCAAATTTACAAGTTTGTTACTGGTTCTTTACAGATGCGTGCTAAGCAAACTCTTTTGCTTTGTTAAATTCTCTGAAAATATATATATATATATATATATAATCTCCATGGGGTACTAATTTGTAGTAGAATGCGATTTAGTGGTTGTTGTAGCTTTGAATTCTTCTTCCTATGTACTGTTCCCAAATTTACAAGTTTGTTACTGGTTCTTTACAGATGCGTGCTAAGCAAACTCTTTTGCTTTGTTAAATTCTCTGAATATATATATATATATATATATATA